TTTCTGGTGCTTTCACTTCCAGAGACAGTTGTAAGCACTGTGTAACTGCCTCGAGGGTGCTTGACCATTTTAACACAACGTGGTGCGATCATCCCCCTTGCGCGGAGCGAGGGTTCTCGACCCCGCACAACATGATCTACTCGACCACCATTATGGGGGGGCATATCTCGTTTGGACTTGCAGCAGCGCAGAGGGAAGCATGCACTTCAGGGCCTCCCCGTCACACGAGGGACGCGCGTACTTTGCATGCTACCACACACGAGTGACAAGCGAAGGTGAGCTATTGCAAAACAGTACGGGCGATGGCACACAAACTACGTCGACCGCGTGGGCAACACTGACCGATTGTTCTGATTCGTTTGTGTCTCTTGGCTCGGACAACAGGGAAAACAAACTGCCTACTGTGGTATACACCAGATTCAACAGAAGAAAAACAAAAAACAGCCATAGAGCGGCCATGTGCTCAATCTCACTCGCGAGCTCGACGAATACACCACGCTCCACTGCCCCGACAGGGCGGGGTCTGCCAGGGGGTTAGCGCCCGCGGGGTAGGATTCCTCCATGGCCTTGATGGCGTCCACCAGCTGAGACTTCTTGTCCTTCTTGAGCTTCCGTGGCTTGAAATTGCTCTCGCTGAGGAGCGACTGCAACCAAACCACCACCAGAAACACCAGCACAAGAGCATCAGCAGTGAGTCGGGGGGATGCGCCCATCAGCCCGCGCGAACAAAAAAAAGCCGCGCCAACATCAAGTATACATTAAAAAAAAAAACGAGCTTGGCTTGGAAAACAAAACCAAAAACTAAACACTTGCCTGGGATTCCGGCGGAGCTCAAGCTTGATTTCCTCGTTTTGTTAACCAGTGCTCAGATGACAGTAACAATCAAAACGAAGTATGAAACAAATCTTACTGCTTGCCCGGCCAAAGGATCGGATTTCGATATTTTACCATCGTCGATGTACGGTCTCACGCGCCACGAAAAACATTAGCGGCCTGAGGGGCCGTTTTAACCCCCGCCAGGACCCGTACTCGCGGGGTGATCGCAAACACCGCCTGCTGCAAAACGCGCACGACACACGGCCACGAGCTCTAAAACATGGTGCAAATCCAACCAACTCGTGCCCAGGCAGTGCCATACAACGCAAGAAACGAAATTAACACAGACCGAACCAAAACAAGTCCACGCTGCTGTTCGCTTTTCTTTTTGTTCATCCGACAGTGAGGGATTGGTGGAGCTCGGGCACGCACCTCAAGCTTGGTCTCGAGAGTCTTCGCCGCCTCGGACATCGGGGCCACCGCCCCACCTTCAGCGTCCTGCGACTTAGACATTGCCCCGGAACTGGTCTTGTAGAAGTCGACCGCTTTCTTCTGCACGTCGTCGAATACGCCTTGCACCTGGCGCAAAAAAAAAAAAAACGATGACACGGGAGGTTTGGGTATGCCTAGAATCAGGGTGGTGGATGGGTGAGCACCAAGACTCACCCGGCGTCGAGGTTCGACCAAGCTACGAAAAGATGAAAGAGAACAGAGGTGCTCCAACCCTCACTGATTACCAACGTCGTAACAAGAGCATCCCACCTTCCACAGAAGACGCCTCGTACACATAACTAAACGGTATCGAAAACTTGCTGCGGTGCCTGGCCCAGCAATTTCGTCCAATGGGCGTGTACAGTCAGTGTTATTTCACCAATGCTGAATTGCCAATACCTTCCCTCCTGCATAGCAGGTGTGCCAATAGGCTTTGTCCGTTGTGACGCCTTTTCCGAACCCTCCACCGATCGCACACACGGAACCAGAATCATCCCACACCCAGCCAACCCCTCTCCCCGCCGAGCACACCCTATTCCTCCGCGGCAGGTAACTGCCTGAGCAGGCCAACCAGCTGGCCTCACCTCCTTGGGCCTGTCCAGCTTCACCGTTCCAGAAGACCCCTCCTCTGCGACCGCCGCCTTTGCATCACCCGCGGCCTTGCCCACCGTCTCCACCGCCGCACCGGCCGAAGCGGACACGCTCTGGTTTCGATGACCAAAATAGGCGTTCGAGGACAAAGGGTGAACAGACGGTTGGGCTTGCGTGTCCACTCCTCTACATTCCTTGCTGTCTTGGACCGACTACAAGCAGTAAACCTCTCGCTGAAGTGGGGCACACAGAACCAACCCTCCCCCCTCTGATTGAGCCACACTCGTGTTCCCAATATCAACAACGTATTCTGCAACCGAGTGCGTGAATCCCATCTACTGTAGCTTTCTAATCCTACCTATTTTCTTTCAATCCTGAATCCTCCCCTCCCCTTCTCTCCTTAATAATAGCCGCCGTTGCAGAACGGCAGTGCACGCACACCTTAGATACCGCATCGGCGGCCTTGGAGGCGTCTGACGATGCCGTCGACGCCAATCCTTCCGCTTCCTCCGTCATCTTGTCGGGTTTACCACCTGCCGGGAGTCGCAATCAGGACAACACCACCGACCGGCTCACGTCAAAGAGCGGGCAAAAACGACAGATGTTTAAAAGCCGGCCTCACTATATTGCCACAGCAGCTGTTGCTCCAAACACCTCGCGCTCGTTGCTACCTGCTCCCCTCTCTTTCGCCCTCTCCACTCACCCTTAGACATCGAGACCCCCGTCCCCGTCGCCCCGCTCGTCGTCGTCGCCGCCGCCGCCAGCGTGTCTTTGTAGGCGGGAGTCGCCCCGACGGCGACGTACTTGCTAAAGTACCGCTCGTCGATGTTCTCCACCAGGGTCCCCAGCTTCAACAGACTCTCGTTCGTGTTCGCCTGTCCTCCCCATGTTTGGGATGGGGGAGGGGGCGGGGGGTCACAAGTCGCAGAGTAATGCCTTTGTGATGCTAGATGTGGATGCTGTGGTGCCCAGACAAGGGGCTCTGCTCGACACGAAGCGTGACACCCATTTTAGGGGAGGACGAGATGCCTCAGCGCAACTGAGCTCACGCACATGGCCTTCTTCGCTCGGAGCCTACACAAGGCTCCGTGTGAGCACACAACCAACAACCGCGGTTTCGGAGCACGAAAAGAACGTCGTTAACCCAGTCAACGAGCTTCAGCAAGACCTGAATGCGGCGAAATACGACTGGTGCCGGGGGCCACGCGGTCGCTACTTAGTCGGCCGAGAGGCAACCGACTGTAAGCTCCACCACGGGAGCCAAGTAAAACGCACAGGCCAGCACACGCCGCTACGCCGAGCACCAGCAGGCGGTGCTTGCTCAAAGGAAGAGTCCCAGCCGCGTCCTCGGGCGAGCTAATTGGAGCATCCGCTACGACATACGCTACTTAACAAAAACAACAACAACAACAACAACAACAACAACAACAACTACAACAACAACGTACCATGACATCTGGCATGCCCTCCACAGCATGCGTGATCGAGTCCGTCGCCTTCCAAATTGCATCCCTCAACTGGTCCCTCAAGAGCAGAGTCTTAGACGAGGCGTCGGTGGATCCAGTAGAGGTACTACTCATAGGCACAAACCGAGTTGTAACGCATCAACACGAGCCACGAGCACGAACAACCACAGGGCGCGCGGGGGAGGGGGGGGGTGTACTCATGGTCGTGCATGCCGTAGTCGTTAGACCATTGACCTCGCATCCCTACAAAGCCGGGACGGAGCACGCCGGGTTCTCACCGGACCAGGCTCTCACATCACCAAGCGCGAAGCGCCGTGAGATATTCGGCGAGTCGCATGAAGGGTGCGCTGCAAGCTGCTAAGGGTGTTCGGCATCTTGTGCTTACTTCCTTGCGAACGGATGACAGCTGCGTTTGACTTCATTTATTTTCTGGCGCTTTCACTTCTGTAGACAGTTCTGAGTACTGTGTAACTGCCTCGAGGGTGCTTGACCAATCACAACGAATCACAACGTGGTGCGATCATCCCCCTTGCGCGGAGTGAGGGATCTCGACCCCGCACAACATGATCTACTCGACCACCATTATGGTTACCGCCAAAAAAACACAGAGGTAGGGTGAGGGGGGGAGGGGTGAGAAAAAAAAAAAAACGAATCAGCAGGATAGTGTAAGAAGATCTTGTGCATGCTTTTGCCGGAGGGCTTGCTTACTCGTTTGCATGGCAAGCAGTTTCGTTGCTACGTACGTACTTCCTATGGGCTGCCGACGGGAAACGGCCAGGGCAGAAAGTTCCATGGGGCGCCAGTCGTGAGACCGCGCTTCGCTGCATCTTTGCACACGGTTGGCAGCCCACAGGCATGCCCATGGGCATGCCCAACATGTCACTCGCGTGTCTTAGCACTAGGCCTGTGTCAACCGACTGAACGAACCACATGCGCAGGGGTGCGAAGAGAATATTTACACTGCCAGGCACAACTGAAATAAACTCTTGCTAAGTTCCTTTGGCGTGTGACTCAACCGCCGAGATGGAGCGATGGGCTCCATTTCCCCCGCTTGAACATACGGCCGGTTTCCTTCCACTCACTGCAAGGACCTCAACACATTCCCTTCGACTGGCCGTCGTTTTATCTCGAACGGGTAGTGTCTTTCCGTGTATGTGTTTTTCCTAATACTCTGGGTGGGTTGCCAATTTTGTCTGGACAAGATTGAATCACAGGTTTTGAAATTTCTCCGCAAGCGAAGGGACTCCTGCTTCAGGAGTCTTTGTTGTGCCTTTTTAAGTCGACAGGAAGAAAATAGATTGCCACCACGGATATCGACAAACACAGGTACCGGCACATCTTCAGCCTCACAATGTTGTTATTATTTTCTGAACATGACACAACGAATCCATCCTCCATCTTGTAGAAGTTGAAGTATTTTTTTTTCTGACTATTTTACGTCTGTTCGTTTGTAAATCTCGCTCGTAACGGGGTTGCGCCGCATAATGAAACGGCGACCTGTCTTTCCTCGGTCGTAGCATTATTGAGCCGCGTTTTTTCCGTTACGTGAAACGGTTCGATTTCTTGTGTGCACACGTGTGGACGGACTTGGAAGAAAAATGGAAACCAAACGCCATTACCCAAGTATTGGCAGGTATTGCTGTAGGCAAGACAGCTACGGCCGCAAAGTGCACTGCACATAACGCCAACCGCTCACTCTTTACTGCGATATTTGTTGAAGTTGACGTATGTTCAAGTCCCATAAGCCCTCGTGCACATGCACCATCTACATGTGGGAATATTTCTGCTGCTACATTCAAATCAAACCTCCGGTGAGCATTTGAGCATCACCTCGGTGTGCCAAGAAGTACTCAAAACAACAAGAGAGCATTCTGTCAAAGTCTGTGTGTGCGTTCGTTCCATATACCTGGCCCTTAGTCTATGGATACGCCTTTCGGCACGTGTGTCTGGTGTATAAACCGGTGCCACGCCGGAGGAAGGTCGCACGGCAGATGCTGTTGCATTGGGCCGCCTTCGTGGTGCACGGCGTTTGCCTTCGTTTCTATTGCGAGGGTACACCCGTCCCTTTCCCATGTCGACAGTTCACGTTCGCACCACAAACGACCGTTTTCACCGCAGAATTGCATAAAAAAACAAGCAAAACAACAACCTTTTTCAAAGTCAGTCATTTTCCACGGCAGACTTGAGGGGGGAAGACAGCTTGAAAGGAAGCACCACGAATCGAGAAGTTTGAACGCGTGTGCCATGGGGTATATGCGAACGTGAGGAGAAGGGCGTTGAGTGACTGCTGCCCGTTGCCTTTTTTTACGCAATTATGCAATGGCCGCTCTCTGCTCACGCACGATGCTAAATGTCTGCGAGTGTGCGTGCGCGCGTATGTGCTGGGCTGAAACAGCTAAACCAGGCCACTCTTGAGCAGAGGGGTATTTCACACGGGGGGAGAGGGGGGGGGAGAGGAACATACCCATGTTGAACGTGAAATTACCGTTCTATTGGTAGAAATAGACTAAAAGAACCTTGATAGAAAAAAAAGGCTGGGCGTGCGCGCGTCCACAACCCTCTGTCGACTGCTGTCGACAGCTAAAGGAGGGGGCTCTCACGCTGTGCCACCACCGCGTTAGAGAACACACGATGTCTAGCTCACGATGAGCTAGCGTGCATCCTACTGTAGAAGGCTTTGTTGCAAAGTCGTCGCTCGCTCGAAACTGGCTGCTGTGTGCCGAACAGCAAGGGGGTGTGGTCTATGCATGATCTGCGGTGCCGGCTGGCTTGCCGTTTGATCTTTCTAGGTGAGAACGCAGCTGCTGGCACGCAGGAACAATTTCCCATGCGGTCCTCTTGCCAATGCTCGCTGTCCCCTTCGGCGCGACGGAGAACATAGCAGCAACAGGTGCGCTCCGAAGCGTCTATCAGCAGAGCGGGACTCGGGAGAGGCACACGCAGGCAGATGTGCTGCTGAGCAGCCGCTCCGTCGAAAGGCGTGGCCTCTTGTTTCTGAAGGACGCAAGACCCAAGAGCTCGCTGCTGTCTAGCATGTACTTGATCATTTCAATCTGGAGGAGACAAGGCGGTACACCGAACCCACCTCTTGCTGGATGCAGCCTCCGTGCCAGCCGCCCCGATCGCCTTCACTCCCCGCTCTAGCCCCCTCTCGGCTGTTGGTTTGCCGGTGGGCGCCATGAAGGCCCCCGTTTGCCCCAACAATCCCGCAACAATCAAAATATGCATACCCACCAGGCGGCGGCTGCTGGTGCAGACGCTCCTCTTGCACAACATCATGTTTGCCTCCTCTCCCCGTCCGCCAAAACGTGTCCCTGCAGGGTGTTCCGTTAGGTTAACGGTGTCACAAGCCGACCGACGTTGCTTGCGAACCCGACCTACGGCGGTGCGCGTACTTATGAGCGATGTGAGAGATTTGGTGAGATGTTCGAGATGAAGCGGTCGTTCCAGATGAAACATGCCTCCTCCTTTTCGTGGAGGGCTCGGGGATGATATGATACTCCGCCACCCCCGAAGAGGAATTCTGCGCGCTGCATCGTCGTTGGTTGTTGTTGTTGTTGTCTTCACATTAAAAACCATCCCGGTCTCTCTATCCAGTACCTCCTTCTGTCTCAATCTCTCCGTACTAATCCATCACTTGACTCGGCCAATTTCCGTGGTCACAGGCTAACGTACCTGAAAAGGTATACCAAAATAAAATGGACCCCAAGGGTCAGCAGAGCGATAAAATACAAGAAAACAAAATATAATCAGAAACAAATAAAATAAAATAAAATAAATAATTAGACTAGTGGAACGGCCGCACCACCAGCCTGGGGGGGTAGCCTCCCACTACATGGAGGCAGGTCGACGGCCAAAGGAAGGGGCGGGGGTACGTGCCAGTAAAAAACAAAACAAAAGACAAGTTGGTGGTGCTGTTCAAATCACAGAAGAAGTGCCTCTGCCGGGGGCCATCCAAGGGTCAATGCGGGTCGAGAAACAGAGAAAACATACATATACATTAAGTATAGGCAAAATCGCGAAACCTTATCCAAGGGTCGGCCTTATTGTGGCAATGTTGTAAAATACTTCCTGCCTCTCGTTCTCACACACTAGATATATATAGATCTACAGTAGCGGCTACGGTTTAAGAGAACTTATTCAAGAGAAAGTACGGATTTAAGAGAGAGGAATTGGCTTGTACCAATCAAAATCGATTTAAGAGAAATTTCCTATTGCAGCTGGGATTTTTCTCTTAAATCGAACAATATGGAAACCACGTGGACACACACACCGGCTGCGAGGAAACCATCGAGGCCACCGTGCGCA